AATATAAAAGCAGCGATAAGTGTAGCATGACAATTAATTATTGAGACGCATCTATAATGTTTGTAATGACAACGTCTCACTAGAAATCTGAAAACTTAAGTAATCTGATTTATTACTGAAAAATGTGCATAAAGTATTTAGAATCTCTGAAAAATATAAGAAAATATATACATTCACAATACACATTGCTATATTTTATTGGAAAGTTAAAGAAAATAGTTGAAGAAACAAATGGATAGTTTGAATATACCAAGTGTAAAAACACATATTCTAACTACTTTTTATCTCAACAAGTAGCACCTAAACAATACTCGATAAGAGAAAAACATCAATACAGTATTCACCCCAATCACATAAAAATTAGGACACATAAAATGTTAATTGTGAAAGGAAATATATGTTAGTGAGAAGCTGATACGGTAAAAAAATATATAACTACTCACTTTAGGAAGTTATCATTTTCTTCATTCACTTTTTCCGCGTCTCGAGTTTTGTACTTAATTAAGCGTTCTATTAATAGACGATTTTCTTCCTGAAAATGTTTATAATTTGATTTGTTAAATAATTTAAAATCTCATAGCGATTCAATCATAATTATCTGTAGATAAATAATTTCTTGCTAGAAGTACCTGCGCTTTCCTAAGTTTCTCTTCTAAAGATGCAAAAGCAAGTTGCAAGGCCTGATGTTCATCTTTCAGCATTTGATTAATAATTTCTAGCTCTTTTTCTTTAGTATGACATTTCAATATTTCTGCATGTAAATTTTTGTTGATCTCTATAGTTTCAGCAAGGCTGCAAATTTGAACAATACAAGAATTTTTATGGTACAGCAGAAGCATTTCTCGTTGCTTTAGTATTTACAAAAACAGAAAAATCTATACCCAGCTTCCTTCATTTGAAGTTCCTTTGTAATTTCTTGCAGTTTATTATTTAGATCTACTATTTGCTGCGTGTGTTCTCCTTTTCTTTTATGTAGAGTCGCTAATTCTTCAGCCTGTTTCAAAAGACGGGCTTCAAGATCTGCAGTTGCACCCGACATAGGGGTTCCACCGGATGTATTGCGGCGCAGTGTTTCATTTGCTATTGTTAATTGAATGTTTTCTCCACGCAGCGTGTTTGTACTTTCAAACAGTCTGTTGTCTATAATTTGGAAGAAACACGATACATTACTTAAGTTGATATCCTGTAGCTAGACTTTAATATAATTGTAAGTCTATAATTAAATGCATTCTATTTATAGAAATAATCATATTGAACTATATAAATTATGAAATCTTACGTAAACTAATGAGATCAGCGAAACAATATGTTTGTCTTCTATTTCTCTCTTGAAGTTGTAATATTAAATCTTTCCTCCAGTTATTATCTTCTCTGGAATATGATGACAGACCTGGTTCATTAGCAGCCATTTTTGCAATACTAAATAATTCCCGTAGACTTTCCTTATACTTGTCTTTTCTTATCAAAGTTGCATAAAAGTCATTTGTCAGAACAGTTGGTGGATATTCTGACAATCCTCGTTTCTGAACATATACTGCTTTTCCACAAAAGTATCTAGTTATTTTCAGCCAAGTCGCATTCGAACATAAATCACTATCAACATCGAAAAATGCCGTATCAATCACATGACATTTAGATCTTGCACAAATATTTTTAATTATGAAAATAGTTACCCTAACCTAAGCGTACCAAACACTATACTGTTACCCTGAAATTGCCGGTTGTCCGAAACATCGATATATTCTGTTTGCGAGTTCATGATATCTACATTCCGAAGATAATTTCAATTAGGTCGATAACGGAAGATAAAATGTTTTTCTCAGATTTCATTCGGCGCCTATTACATCGTAAACGTCGCGAAGAGAAAGTAATCTCTGAGACAATAAAAACGAAATATTTTCGTGAAAATTAAAATAAAATGTGCTTCAGACGATGAAACAGTTTCCTTCCTTATGCCACAGTCGACTTAATCTAGGTTCGGTACATACGGTAGCTAATGAGAAGATGTAACGTTGAAATGCCGGAAAAAGTTATTGTTCATTTGCATCTTCGGAGTTCAGAGAATTTGTCCTACAATGAAATATTGGAATAAAAAGATAGAAAAACATAAAAACAGGTACAAACAAAACTGTGCTTTTGTAGGTAATAATAACATATTTGAATTAAATGCAATGCAAATTCATTTGTATAATTCATTATACAAATATTATACAATATATATTATATATTATTATAAAAATTATATATTATTATAAATATATATTTATACAATATATATTATACAATATTATACAATATATAATTCATTGGTATAATTCTATTACAGCAAATCCGGAAAAAGAATTAAGAAACCCGAAAAATATCAATTCGTAAAAAATTCCAAAAATCACAATACCTATGGCAGGTTTTATGTTGCACCAACGGATTATGTGTTCTACTCAATTATCAATACTGACCTACAAATGATTCGGAGAACAGAAACGGCATTAGTGAGAATGAAACACAACAATTATTATTTAATCAAAATTTTTGTAATTCTCATTTCCTCATTTTAGATAATACGAAATTTAATAGAGCTTTATATGATCTTGGAGAACGATACCGGGAAATCTCACTATCTTGAAACGTGGTTTCAAAATGGGTAAGAATAAATTCATAATTTCGTAAAAGTGTCATTCCTTACTCTCGAGACACGAATATTTTTAAAAATTTCTTGGTTACAATAATGAGGTCCAACCAAACCTTCAAGTATTTTCTTTAATATATTTTCAAATCGTCTGCTTTGAGGTCAATGTTAATCCTTTTGCTATATCTGGTATTAGTAATTAACTAGAAAACTAGAATTTTAAATGCACCATTAGAACTTTGGTTCAAAGTGGCTTTGAGTCCCGCCATACGAGGGTTAACATTAAACGACATATAAGGGAAACATCAAAATGCATGTAATATATTTAATCTATTCTATAATAACAGAAAGAAAATAATAATCTTAGAGGGATATGATCACAAGCATTTGAAGTACCTTCAAGATCAAGCTAAGTACATGGCAATTGCGACCCACGCGGTTCGTCGTTCTTGGGAACGAAATATATCAATTCTCGCGTTAGCCGTTTTCGGGGTGCGTGAAGAGTTAGATGAAGTCTTCGATGGATTGTCATACTTGCGTTGATATTATGATTAACACTTATTGATATTATAATGATATTATTGATGATATTATAATTAACACTTGTGCAAACAAAATGTAAGACTAATCATCGGTGTTTCCATTTGCCGGCGTCATAGGGGCATCCCTCGCATCCGCACTTGCTCACGACTAGTCAACAAACTGAAGTGCTGTAATAGAGGAATAGAAAGAGGGACTTCCCCAACTGCGATACATCTGCGCCGACACGACGCGATGTAGTCATGTAACGTCGCGTAAGTCAACTTTTTGCTAATTGGCGCATTCTCGCCATTTCGATGTCTGCCTTCGGGGAGCGTGCGGTTGCAAGGGTCGCTCCTATAACGCCGGCAACTGGAAACCCTGCTTATCAAGTTTCAGTAAAAAAAAAAGACCAGCGGCTCTATGGGACTCTCTATGATTAGAACGGAGAACTCTGGCACTGTGTTGTGAAGCAGGAAATATTCAAATGTAAATATATTTGACTTATAGCCCAGAGATCAATACTTATTTCATTTATATATTATAATATTATATATTATGCTTATATCATTAATATATATATATATTTCAAGCCTCTTTATCAGAAGATATGCAATCAGGTGACTCTTTCAGAGCAAGTAGTTCGGTATCTGCTGTTCGCAAAAGGAATTGTTACGAATGTTAAGTTATCCAGGATAAATAATTATTAAAATACTCATTATTTTATTAATTATTTTCAATAACAAATCGCATGGTAAAATATCCGAGGTTAACAACATTGCTAAAATAGGTAGCCAAATTACCAACAGTCGATTTTGGCTAACAGTTTGAGCGTTTTGCCGTTATAAGCACTATACGGACCTTCGAAGAAAATTCGTACCGAAATTTATATTGTTTCTTATGGAAAAGACGTCACGAATGATTTCTTCCAATATTCAGTATTTATAGGATATATATATATAAGGAAACCACAAAAAACATAACACTTAAATTTCTCTGTTTCTATGGAGGATAACGAAGAATTCAGTTTGATTATAATGTATATATGTAATAATAATAATACTTATATATACATATAAGTTCCATTACAATGTTAAAGTCGTGTCACTAATTGCAAAGAATTTCTTTATTACGATTCTGTGGTTTTTGCAATTACACATTTAAAATTGCACAGGCTTGGAATTTGTTGGTCACTTCGATGCCCCGTTTTTCATGTTCATCTCCTCGCGTATTAGTTTCGCCAAAATGGGTATCGCCTGCGAACAAAATAAAATAATCATACAGAATAGCGCCGCAATGAATAAGATAGATAACGGAGCAAAAAGAATCGAAGAAACAAATTAACAGACCTTCTCGATTTCTTCCGGAGTCGCGTAGCTGTAAGATAATCTAATATGTTGATCGGGCCTCAAGGAATCGCAGTTGAAGGCATGACCGGGAATAATGAATATCCCCTGAGAAATAGACTTCCTCAAAGCCAACTCGGATACATCTTCGATGCCAGGTAATTTTATCCAAACGAACATTCCACCTTCGGGCACGTTCCACTCCGCCAAGCCTGCAAAATCATTTGTTGCCTGCATAATTTCGTTCGATGAAATTTAATCGAACGGAAGTTCGCCAAATTTCATTTATGCCCCCATACGTGCAAAATTCTACAGAGCTCGAAGCTCACAAGGAGCACCAACGAGCATTAACAATCGGTGCTCGCTAGGTTTCGTGTTAACGTTCATTTCGTCATTTGGCACGCCAACTCGATGAACTATGCTGCAGCAATTACTGCTGAAAGGAAACGATAATTCAGAGAAAATTAATTACCCGTAAAATGTTTCTCGAGCGAAGCCAACATGGTATCTCGTCTTTCGCGATAGAATTTTTGAATACCATTGAAGTGCTGTTGCAGCTTCTCCATGTCCCACGCGCTTAACAATTTGTACAACAGCATCTGCAATCAATAAAGCACGTTGTATTATCCTATGATATCAATAAAAAAAGATATTTTCCCTGCCGAACAATTGTCGAATATATTTTGAAGTATGCACCTGTGACAAAGAGGCAGCATGAATACCCGTAACGTCCATGTGCATGATCAATCGTTCGATAAATGTTTTATGAGCTGTGACAACGCCAAGTCGGAGACCAGAGCTGAGGATCTTGCTGAAGGAATCCAAACGTAGCACACGTCCTTCCGTGTCTAATTCTAAGAACGTCGTGGGTTGTTTATCCAGGAAGTGAAGAAATTCATAAGGATCATCCTCGATAATGAGGAAGTCGTATTTCTGTGCCAGCGCGTACACTTCCCTTTTACGAGATTCTGGCATGACTATTCCTGTAGGATTCGATCCCGTCGGATTGACATAGAGAATCTGAGAAGCGAACAGTATGCTACTGTAAAAATTGTACAATTTAATTATATTAATTTAGTGATCTTTTATTGCAGAGACCAAATCATACAGACAAAAAAAATTTCGCAAGTAGCTGCACCAATTAATGGAAATAATTCCTTTACGGCGGTGTTAAAAATGAAATAATTTATCCATAATATAAAAAATATATATAATATTATATTATAATAGAGAGAGAGAGAGAATATTATAATATATTATAATATAATTATTATATATAATATTATATTATAGTATTATATTATATATAATATAATTAATAATATAATTACATATAATATTATAATATATTATAATATTATATATATATATCCATAATATAAAAAATTTATCCAACTTTTCTGATAAAAATAGAGCCTTCCATCTTTTGTGCATCTAGTTTGAGAGTCGCGTGAAGATTAATATTATCAGTTCTGAGATCTTTTATCGATCGATCAAACGATCGATCTTCTAGGAATAGTGACAGATTGGAGATTTTACAGAGTTTTGCAGGAGAATTTTTTCCAGAGATCGATGCAGGAACTTGTTGTATCGCATGATCTTTCCATTTTGTACGTACACAAAAAAAATGTCGACCTAATTTGCGATAATCATTAGCGTCACCCTTTCGAGGAAGCAATGCTGCTAAATTGGTAACGACTATACGTCACTTGGACATGCCTAAAGCCGTTACGGATCGGTGAGTTACGCATAAACCATGTGCGAGCATCGGAACATTTTAACCGAACGTGATAACAGGGCTATAAAAGCCACGATTAATTCAGTCTGACGTGCATACTCGTACGTAAATCGTGTCGTGAATGATATTACCCCTATTGAGTCCATTAGAGCACATGATATTGATTTACGACCACTTGTTGTTACGTCAGATAAAAACAGACGAGTTAATGCAGAGCGAGGTTGGAAATATTGCGATTTCATGATGTTGCAAGTAACAGAATACACTAATAACGGAACAGAGATAATTCACATCATTGCAAACTCTTCAGATATCTGAAATTATCATTCTTACACGTGTCATTTATTCCTTGTTATTTAACGTCTACCATTCATCCTACGCGCAGAGTGCACGAATAGGACAAATTCGGAACAACAAATTGCAAAAACATATTATACTTCAGCTTACGAAGATTGTTAGAGAATGTAAAAAAAAATATGTATAATTTGACTTTACCTTGGAATTGTTTCAGAAAATTCGTGAATAATAATTAATTTTACATTGATAAATTAAATTTAAATACCTTTGGCATTTTTTTGTTATCTTGCAATCTCTTCTCGCAAATCCTCGAAATTTCATCAGGAATTATTCCATGCTTGTCTTGCCTGATTTCAAGGAATTCTGGTAACAACGGTATCAGCTGGAAATGATAATTGCATTCATGAGATCATTTCGGTGAAATAAGACAATGCACCAGCGATCGCGGTGTATGTTAAATTCAAGTATAGAATAAAATATTCGATTCTTGAAATATAGAGGCACAAATGTTCACCGCATTCAAGGTTCCATTGTAAGCAGGTGCTTGAAGCATCATGGGATCCCCAAGTTCTAGCGTCATTTCGAAAACCTTGTTACACGCATCCATCGAGCCGTTCGTAATCACTATGTCCCAGTTATCATACTTCGGCTTGGACCAATAGTTTTGAAATTCTTTTAGTTTCTGTATCAGTGGCGGGTATCTTGAAAATATTAGTCGTTTCAATCGATTGAAAATGATTGTGATTTCTTCCATTAGTTTGCTTTACTCTGATATAAATGAAAATAGCATTGCTACTATTATTATTAGACTGCGGATCTTCATACCAAAGTAAAAATTGTCCAACACGATTGTAAGGAATATAAATTGAATAAAGATTAAATGTTTTTTTTAATAATTTTGAGTGTAACAATATTATTAAAATCCTTCCTATGTCGTCACAATTTTATATTTCAGCGACAGATCTCTGCCATAAATGCATAAAATCCGCAGTCTAATTATTATTATTATTAATGAGGTACAGATAATGATCGTCGTCAATGGGATGCAAAGGATTAGTCGTCGTAATACTGAATTAAATGAAAGAATTACCCCTGAGATGGGCCGTACTGAAGCGCCCACCCTAATTCCTCTCCCACCAGCATTACTCGGCTGCCATCTTTGTACTTAACAGAGATTTCTTCGAAAGGAAACGTTTCCGTGTTCGGCATTCCGTTCGCCAAAGTAATTCCGTTCGGAGTTGCGATAAACTTTTGCGCTAGAAAAATCGTAGAAAATCAACGAACATTCGATTCGCCTCGATGAAAATATTTCAGAAATCTTAAAAATGCTTCACGCTGCACCGATTCAAGTTCGCAGCAATGCAAATCATTCCTACCCCATTGCCGAAGTATGCTAGGCTGCCGTCTGCTCGAAATCTTCGTGATAAATCGTTTGCAGTCCATGATTAATTTCAGCGGAATTTCTCGTCGATCACGATCTCTTTAATTCTGCCCCAAATTGCCTGTATCTTTCACTTTTATTTTTTACTAGTTGTATATCTTGTTCCAGTTCTCCAAGCGTTCCTCACAACGAATTCGGCAATTCAAGACGTACTGTTATACAGTCTGTTCGAATTATCACTGGAAGAAACCGATAAACCCTAATCGTCTTCGCACTGCAAGCAAACCGCTGTAAGACTGATTCTACTAAGTACCGATGCCAATTAATATCTAAACAAGCGTGGTCGTGTTATCAACAGCTCGGGTTATCGACTATTAGTATAGCCGATAAGCAGTTTTCGATGTGGTTGTCAAAAAATCAATGGCGCAATCAATAAACGAATGTGCCTCTGAATTTCACGTGTCACCTTAAATGATTGCGCCTGTATGAGATGACTGGACAGTTACGAGCAAACAAATAAGATAAGGCTATCGTTGATTATAAACTGGCTTCGATCGAATCGTCATCATCTGATCCGATCGTATCGTGCAGAATTGAATTGTAATTGATGTTTTACGGCGATAAAAATTACACGCGACGGGGGAGTCTGCCTCTCGTTGGTAGACGGGTGAAATGAATAAGCACGGAGGATATTGTTTCAACATTTTATGCTCAACACGTACATCTTTTTATTTCGGTATCTGAAAAAATAGAGATACGGCGAAGGAAACGAGTGTTCTACTATTCGTTCGTCGAGAAACAATTGTTCGGTTCGGAGATCGTAGGGAGTTTGTTTTTGTTATAAACAGTGTGTTAAAGTTCATCGGGTACATCGTTCTTGCGAAAGAAAAAAACGCTCCGCGACAGTGTTCGAGTGAATTCCAGCGGGGCACGGATGTAGAAAGAATACTTTCATTGTTGTTAGGCTGCGGATAGTTGCGCACAATCATTCCGGCGTGCTTTCGTTAATCGGCGAAGATGAAACGTCGCGAGAACTTTGAGAGAGCTTCGCACGTCTATCAACGCGTTTAAGTGCCGAGAATCGACCCAAAAAATTCCACGAACTCAGAGCAGTTCAATTAGTAAAACTGAAACTGGAGTGTTAAAGTCTGTCATAGTGGATGGTATTGTAACGCCTTCGCATTCTAAACATCCTAGTAAAATTCCGTTTGTTCGACTATATTGCGATAAAAATGAAAAAACCAGTCAAAGATTAATATCACTCAAATGCAACCAACTAGGCACTGAACCTGTTAAGGGCGATTTTTCTCAAGAGCACAATGTACATTATCAATTTTTACCGTTATCTTTAGCGTTCATTGTCGTAGTTGCAAGCGATAGTAATCAATAGATTGCGTATCTATTATGCCGGATGAAAATTCTCACTCTTTAACAAGCTCTATCATCTGAAAATGCTGACTCATCTCTGCTCGATCGTGTGGCAAGTGCACAAAATCCGCAGTTTACAAAATAACAAGCAAAGGAAATGGCAAACGAATTATTAACGAATTTTCTTATCGTTGCTTTCTTTTTTGTAAACCTGTTGTAAAACCGATCATATTTACGTAAATATCCGCAGTCTAATCGTTATAATTACATGCTGATGCCTCGACAACAATACACCGAAGTACCAAGGTACGAACCGCTAGTTCCAAGTCATTATCCTCTTCGCGATTAGAGACACGTGCTGCCTAACAGCTACTTCCCGCTATTATTTTACGTAAGATTATCCAACTGCGATCGCTACATAACTGGAGAACAACGAACAAATCGCATATTCTCTATAACCACGCTGTTTTCGATTCGATTCTTCTTTTCCATTGACTATTCAAGAATACGAGAAGATGTAACCATAAACATTGCTCAAACGTTACCAATTTTGTGTTCAATCGATAAAATTTTCTCTAGCGGAAAGTATTTTCTGCGAATGTGTGTGTCTAGGAAACAGCGGATCTTCCATTGGTACGTCCAAGAGAAAGTGTATCATTCTCGAGTGGCTCCATTTAATCGCGAAACACTTTTTCATGTTGCTACGGTCTTCAACTTACGATTTTCTCTTCATTTCGCCGCAAACATAAATTCAAATCGACGAAACAGGATGACAGACTGGAGGATTCTGGTGTCTCACTGTCACCTTAAAACACAATGAAATGTAACATTTCGTAACATTTCAGAGACGGAGACGTAACATTTTCACAATGAAATGTAAAAGACGGCATTTTAACCATTATTAATTGCTCGGTAATTTACAGATGCACCATTTCTTTAGACAGTAACATGTCAAACGGATGTACAAACTAACTGAGAATGTTTAGCGAAACAGATGACACCGCTAAAATTGCTTTTGCGATAAATAAGCAGTGATCGCTCACTCGTTGCACGGGATCGGAACTGAAACTGCGATCCAGAGTCTTCGCAGATTCGCGATATACATATTGTGTAAATCTGAAATGATAACAGAGGAATAGCAACGCTGTCCATGTGGTCCATGCTTCCCTACTACATGTCGTTTCCCACTACGATTCGTTTCCATCTACAACGCGTCGTCCCCACTCAGCATTGTTTATACGAAACAAATATAGTGATCTCATCTCCGAGCGAGCATTTTGTTGGGAGCACAGCGAGCGAGTCGTCACTGCAAATATGAGCCGTTTATTTTCAAAGTGGCATAAGTCACTTCACCGTAATGAAAAGTGGTGATTTTTTAATGTTTATATATATATATATATATATATATATATATATAATATATAATATATAATATACAATATACAATATATAATATATAATATATAATATATAATATATAATATATAATATATAATATATAATATA